CTACCACAACCCGGGCTGGTCCTCGCACGGGGAACGACATTGGGAGGGGAACAGACCCAGCCGCCCACATGTCGTAAACCAGCCTGGTTCCCTTGTAAACCCTTCCGTTGCCTTGTGCCAGCACTTTCTTCTGTCTTGGGTCGACCCTTCGTCGGCCCTGAATGCCTCGCTGTCTGAACACCGTACTAGTATAAGTCAGTGAGCCATCAAACACTCCCCCTCAGACCGGCTTCCAGATGCAAAAAAAACACTGGATTTTCTCCGCAACGAAAGGGTGCCGACGCCGAAAAGGATGACCGACTTTGGAAAAGATCTCGTCGAGAGCTTTCTTACCGGTTGGTTTTGGCACACTCATGGGTGTGTACGATCACTCGCACATTTACAGTATTTCTGTACTGTACTGTGTGAGCCTTTCGTGAAACGGGTTCAGCACACCCCTTGTTGGGGGGCTCACTATTCCACTTGGTACACCAGGTGTTTTTGGCTTTTGTTATCTCGATAGACGACACACGTGGCTGTTGGGCAGAGACCCGAGCACCAGTAGCGCGGAGGCCGCGAGACGTCACGATCGTTTGCACTAACCCTCCATGCTTCTTCGTATTTTTGATTCGAACTTTCTGACGTTGAATATGTTCAGATTGTCCTGGCAGGGAGCTATCCACCTGGCTTGGTCTCGTACGTGATTGTTTTTGCTATCGGTAGCGACAAATAAAGAGATGTTTACATCCTCCAGTTCTATGTTGCTTCCGCCCCCCTATGCGAACCACGTTTGCATGCCGCGGATCCACATGTAGCGCTCTTCAACTTCGAGACAAAAACCGGTCTGTTGTATCTAGCCAGTAGTTGTTGGCTGGGGTAGCGCCTGAAGGACGCGATGGCAGCGCCTGAAGGCGTTGGACGAAGATGATGAGGTGCAAGAAACCGCTGTGTCCCACTCGCTGCTCTGCGCTCCCCGTGTCGTCCCCCTCCGCCGCCCCATAACCACCGTCCGTGCAACCAACTCGACATCGCTGGTGGAAGGTTTGAAGACGGGTCGAGTGGGGTGCTGTCCACCAACAGCGTTAGGCGCGGAATGGCGGTGTACGCCATGATATTGGAGGCAGCAAATTTCTGAGGCCCTCAGAAACTTGCTGCCTCCACTAGCATGGCGTACGACGCCATTCCCCGTCGGACACTGGAGGTGGAGAGAACCTTCCGCCTCCCGTCCTCAAACGTTACATCAGCGATGTCGAGTTGGTTTCACGGGCGGTGGTTAGGATGACACGGGGAGCGCAGAGCAGCGAGTGGGACACGGCAATTTCTTGCACCTCACCGCCTTCGTCCAACGCCACTGGCGCTGCCATCCAGCCCGCCGCATGCAGCACTCACGAGTACGACGGAGTCAAGGCCGAAGCCTCGAGCATGCCGGCACTGACCACGCCGCCACGGCGCGTCTCAAGGGAGCCCTGGTCGCCACGACCACCAAAGCTGGTCCCCTTACGGGGAAAGCCAATGAGAGGGACACCGCCCCAGCCACCCACACGTTCCAAACCAGGTTGGTTCCCTTGTAAGCCCTTAGACCCATCGGTACAAGGTAACGGAAGGGTTTACAAGGGAATCAACCTGGATTGGAACATGTGGGTGGCTGGGCCCCTCTCAGTGACTTTCCCCGTGACAGGACCAGTCCGGGTCGTGGTAGCGACCAGCGCTCCCTTGAGACGCCGGGGCGGCGAAGTCGATGCCGGCACGCTCGATGCTTTGGCCTTGACTCCTTCGCCCTCCAGCATTCCGTCCTCGTACTCGTGACAATTGCCACGCGGGGGGATGGATTATTGTAGGGACAATAAAGTTTGTGGGTAGTATCGAGGGAAGGCTATTGTTAAATATCCTCACGTACATGCTGATGTCCGTAAATCTCTCGGAGACTGACGTGCTGTAGAAAAATACCATGTACAGGAGCAGAGGTAAAGCCGCTGTGTAATTCAGCAACACGCAAACTTGGGTTAGTTTATTGTTGAAGCCACTGCTGTACAACAAACCCCGAAAACATAAAAGCGGTCGACAGCAGCAGCGGAAGAACAGGGGGGTAACTTTGTTGCTTGCGATAAATGCAGGTGACAACGGCTCAATTCTCAATTTTCCATCCGCTAAGAACAGCAGCAACAGCAGCAGTGGCGCGCGCCAGCCCCACCGCTTGGAGCTGCGCAACACCACAAGCCTTAAGGCACAGCGAGAGGTTCCGGTCCGTCTTGCTGATGCTACATGTGTACCCTGCTGTCTTACGCGAGGATACAAGTGCAAGGCCTGTGTATTCTAGTGAGAACTGCCAAGTTTTGACGCAGAGAATTTTCCGGACGCAACCTTGGTTCCAACCATGGGGACACTGTTTTACGGCTCGTTCCATTGAGACTCTGCTCATCTCAAGGTTCGTCTCCGAGTCGAGAGTTATCTGTATCTCCCGCCACTGCTGCTAACGAACGGGCCCATGCCCCCACTCTACATGGAACCATCGTTCAAGGGCTCTCTCCACCCTGTTCGTTCCCTTCGTACGCGCGCCTGCTTCATATGTGCTCGCTGGGCGCTTAACGGGTAGCTAACCCGGTGACAGTTACGCTCAAGACTAGATGTTTCATGCTCTGATAGGGAATTCCAAGCACTGCTTTTACGCTTGCGAGGTTGTTGCCTGTGCACTGCTGCCGCAGTTGCTGCAGGGGCGTCATTGCTGAAGATGCCTTCTGCGCGAAGCATATGTCAAGAAGTGCCGTGAAGGCGTTTTAGGTGAGGGATCGGAAAGCTCAGCTTTGATCTTTGATGGCAAGCGTGATCAGACTCAACACATCACTCTATCAGACCATGAACGCGCTAGCCTTCTCGGGTGTAGCTGCCTCTAGGTTAGCTTGGACCACGGCAGAAATGATATGGTTCGCCTTACAGAGCAAGGTCATGCTGTACCGACCGAATCGGGGCCGGGACAGCTGTTAGCTCTAAATGCAAGCACGAAAGCAACAACTCCACCCGTGTTGCCATATAGACAGGCGACATGGTGTTTCGCACGCGTCCACAGCGGGAAACGATGTTGCTGTGACATCATACCACTCGAGAATTCTTGTTCGAGGTATTGGATAGGTTGTGTGTCTTGTTTCCTTCACAAAAAATATATTAGATCTCTTCGTAAATTCAGTACGTTTTGGTCCAACTGACACGGATGCCTTCCGGTGCCAAATTAACTGCAGAATGTACTGTAGTCGAATGGGGTAGCATACATACTGCATGAAAAATCGAAAATAGAGGGACCCACAAAAAATCCAAAGATAGATCAGTCCAGCCACGCGATGCTACTGGTGAAATATTTTGTTTCATGTTCAATCGCGGGTACCCTGAATCCCGAGGTTGCATTCTTCTGTTATGGACTCGATTCGAATAGGCCTGTGGCGTTCTGGTGGTAGTGCGGAATCGTCTCTCGGGCTTCCAGTAGCACAACTCTGCTCTTTTTATATTTTCACACCTTCGACGGGAAGAGACAGTGGGTAGCTTATCGCTGGAATGGCAGAGCAGGCACTGGGTGTTAAGTGCCCCACCACTATATCGCCCCCCTGCGAATCAGCGGGTATCAGCAGTGTCCTTCGATCGGCAGGTAGGTGTGGAGGGCCAACCGCCCGTGTGAAGACCATACTACCAGCACATTTAAGGGCATTTATTTTTGATGCCGTGCGTGTAGAGGTACTTGGTGATTGCGGATGGATGCAGTATCCATCGGGGGCGAGTAATCTCATGGATCACGTCAAGCTCCATGGCCTCAAGCGCTTGCGTCGAAAGACAAGCATGTGTGAAGCGCGAAAAGCAGGAATATCGGGAGAGGAGCCGGGCAGGTAGTGAAATGCGCAGGTACTACAGCAGCAGCAAGCAGCAGGCGACGGGTTGTGGGAGTAGGATCGTCGGACACATCGAACCAGGTCGAAATACTCCAGACTGAGCGTGATAATTGTGTAGAGTGTGGTTGCCGCTGATGGTTGCCGCTGATGGTTGCCGCTTATGGGTGGTCACAAATGAGCGACTAGACTATCTAGTCTATGTATACGAACGAGTCGCTGACCGGATAATTGACATGACGACCAGGAGAGCGCTATCTACTGTAGATGCGCCAGAAAAATGGCAGACCGACCACAAGGTTTAGGAAAAGAGACAAGGAAGGGCGGACTGAAGAAATATGCTACCGAAAGTCGCACCCCGATGGATGTACACGTAGCACACTTCATGCTGTCGAACGTGGATACTCTCTCTCTCTCTCTCTTAGACTCTTTTGAACTCACCGTTAGCGTTGGGTAGATTGGTAGCTTACGGTGGTGACAGGTGCTTCAGCCAATAAGAGGGCACATGCCCGGAGTACTTCAACAACTACGGCTGCTGTAGGCTATCACGGGTGGCCAGAGGCAGGTTGTGCGTAGGTTGGGGCACCACCTACAACCTGGGGGGGAGGTTGCAGGGAGGTTGCAGCCCAACGTGTGCGAGTTTTCCCGCATCTTGGATAGTGTCGTTATTGCAATCAACACGGCGGGCTGCGAGCCCGAAGAAAAAATGGGTTCAAGGTCGAACTCGGCCTCCCAACCTCCACCCCCCGGGTTGTAGTTCGTGCCCAACCTGCCCCTCTGGCCACAAGTGTATAAGCAGTGGATCCTGGCTACCCGCCGATGGATTATTTGCAAGATACCCAGCACGCACCCGCCCGCTCAAGATACAAATAAAGAAATCTTGCAACACAACGAAGATACTACAGCAGATCTACGCATTCAACAACCGGGCACGCGGCATTATTCAACCGGCATGTGAAACAGCGACGACAGTAGTGTGCTTCTATTTTTTCTCTTTCTTTTTTTTTCGATTGAAACATGTTCGAGAAGGACCGTCGGGTGGTGGTTCCCCGCAGCGTTCCCAGGTTCCATTTTGGAACTTCGAGAACCCTGATTTTTGGAACGTTCATGGGGGAACCTCTCTGTCCTGCCTGCCTGCCTCTTCCTCTTTCGCCTGCCCGTGCCCTGCCCCCACCTCACTCACAACATCCATGAACACCATCAACCACAACAACAACAACAACCGCTACAACAACAACAAGACGATGACTACCTCTTCCATCAAGATCACCTTCCAGGGCGCTTCACGCGACGTGAACGTTCGGGTTCCGGTTATGCTCGCCAGCCTTCAAGCTGCCATCGCCGCCGCCTTCGATGTAGAGCTGCCTGCCCGCTCCTCCGCTGGCGAGGCCGCCAATGACACCGACCTGTCCTTCACGTACAAGGATCCTGATGGGGACGACATCGTGTTCGACAAGGAATCCGAGCTACAGCTGGCCCTGCGCCTGTGCCCCGGTTCGCTCGAGATCTCGGCTGCCGGCAAGGAAAACAAGGTGAGAGCGTGAACGGGAGAGAAAAATAACTCAATGCTGTGCACCGACACGCGTTTTCACACACGAGGGCACACGTCGTAAGGGCACAGGCTTTGACGACGTTGCACATGGAACAAATAGTTCTTCGACACTGCCCTCCCGTGCACTGCCCCCATTCGTTGTTGCTCTTCCAGTTTATCCAAATGTCGAAGTTGATGCGGGTCGCGGAAAATTCACGTTGCCTCTCCGCTCTCCTGTAAAGTTGTACTACGGTGTAATGTAGTCCGTCAAGTAGCAAGGTGCTGCTGTTGGTGGGCCAAATGGAGTTACGAAATATTGTCAAGCCGCCCTCGCTTTCCATAAGCAGCTTGCCCCATATATTTACGCTTTATTGAGTAGGTTGTGGGCCATCCACTCACAGCAACAATCGGAAGAACTCGATGAATCGATTAACTGTCGCCTCATTAACTTCATGTGCTGCCGTAGTTGAAGTATTCTCCGAGCCACGTGGTGATGATGACATGTACATAGGAATAAGACTACATAGCGAGACGTATCGCAACGCCCTATTTTGATATTTGACGGGTTACAACTTGCTCCACTTGGCAGCCTGGCGATCACCATTGGTTTCTCGTATGCAAAGAATATTCTGTCTCCTCTTGGGTCGTACCTCTTGCGAACTACCATTATTGATTTCGATTGGTCGGCCGTTATTTCTCGATGTATCACCTTCTACCTCCGACGTCCAAAAGCTGCTGAATCCCAACAAGCTACTTTCTGGCATCTGACCACCGTCGTTCCATCCTCTCCTCCATTCCTTCTTCCGTTCAGGCTACTAGGATGCCGGACTCCGAAGAGAAGCTGTACAAGATCGCCGCCCGCAACCTGCGCGAGTACAATGGCGTGCCCTCGATGACCCCACCCAAGCTCGTCAAGACCCTGGCGTTCCTCAAGCTGAACCCGCAACGCCTCGTGAAGCAGGGCCTTGCTCCCAAGGTGCTTCTGGCTCGCATGAAGGCCGAAGCCGCCAACAACGCCAAGGTATCGAAGGTTCCTCTTGGTGACGGCAAGAACAACGAGGATCTCGCCGAATCGGTCGCCGCCGGCATGGAACTGATGAGCGTGGAGGACGGCAAGAAGGAGTGGAACGACGGCTTCGTGTCCGTCGAGCCCGCAGAGATCTCCTTCCCTGCCAATGACAACGAGGAGAAGAACGACGCTGCACCTGAGGCCAAGAAGAACCTCATCCACAAGGCCTTCATCGCCGGCGGCATCCAGCTCCGCCCCCGCGAGGTCCGACCCCTGCTCGTCGCCCTTGACGTCCTCCCCTACCGGCTGGCCAAGCTCGGCCTCGTCGGCGGCAAGGATCTCCGCGCCATGCTCCGAGCCGAGAAGAAGACCGCCCACAAGCGCCACGGCCCGGGCCACGCCGGCCTCCAGCACCTCGGCCACGTTGAGCGCATGGCCCACAGTGGCCCCCGTGGCCCCACCGGCGGCTTCGCCCGTGGTCCCGCAGGCCTCATCATGCGCGTCGGCAGTGTTAGACCCGGTGCCGGTCCCAGTCCCGGTTCCGGTTCCGGTGCCAGTGGTCGTACCCCAGAGGCGGGAGCCAACGTGGTTCCTCTCGGAAGGGGCAAGATGAGGGCCGTGTTCTGCGGCAAACCCCGCGTAGGGATGATGATGCCCCGTCGCTGCCACCCCCACGCCGGCATGCCTCCCCCTCCCCGACCTCACATGGAGCACGCTCGTGCGCCCGGCGGCGGCGGCGGCGGTGTTGGCCAGCAGCAGCACGGGCGTCACCGCTAGGGGCGAAGATCACCGTCAATCCGAAGGAGGAGAAGCCTCGCTGTCTGCTACCATTCTGTTCCTTGTTCCGCGTTTCGTGGTGCAAGAAGATCGGCATGAGAGTAGCAGTTGAATTGGTATATCGTTGTCTATGGGTTGGTACCATTTGCAATTGGGCAGAAGCCTCCCTCGGAAACACTGATACGAGGGGTGGAGAACTGAAGGTTTGAGTAGACGAGAACCGTTTCACCGTTTTGGCTTCTGCACTCATGCAGCACTTCGATACGCGTACATGCTCGAAACATCTTTCAAAATCAAACTGATTTCATTTGAGTTTGGCCTTTCGTGGTTTCTTTGTTTTATTCTGTGCTCTCGTTGTCATGAGAGTCTGTTGTTTGCGTGTAATAGTAGATAGTCGCTGTGCGATGCACAGCATGCAAGGGATAGTGAAGAAGGGATTGCTGTCACCCACTGCTGTTGTCAGCAGCACTAAGAGGAGACCGCTGTCGGTCTGAATACCGGCCGTTCAAATTGGAGAGGGCATGATGTTTGAACCTTTAGGGGGGCACACGTCGCGCAGCGGTGTGTCTGTTGCAAAGGTCGGAGTTTTGGTGTCAACCCATGTACGAGCGACCTCCAGTGCATGCACAGTTTGGTTTTGATAGTGAAACGTTGGCCATGTTGAAGTTTTGGAGTGGAGAAAGTATTCAGATGGTTGGATGGGATGGGGAAAGGAAAAGTATTCTTCTTCGTAGCCATTTAGGTTATCCCTGTGGCGAGCTGTTCTGGGCTAACTGCCTAGCAATCTCCACCAGGAGCTACATGCGTATCGGTGTAGGCATGGGAGAGACACGGGAGAGGAGGGAGAGCGAGTCCCACTCACTATGTATCATAGAGAGAAGAAACATAAACGGACCCTAAAAGTCCCAAAACCACAACACAAAACCGGCCTGATGTCCTTACGACATTCATCTGCGGTGATGGCGGCAGTTTTTTACCCTTATCTACCTCCTCGCTTTTCGTTGATTACGAGAGGGACGAGCGCGTCGCAGCACTTTCTGTTGTTCGGTGCTTGGCGGACCCCACTAGCAACTTCAATGTGGCCTGCCTCTCGAACGAATCTGAGCGAAGTCCCACGTATGCATACATTCTTAAGGTCCTCATTATTCACCGGAAAATATACAAGCGCTGCAGTATACGATCCGGGCGCAGGGGCCTTCGTTTTTCATCCTTCTTGGAAATAATTCTACTTCGAAGTACTTCAATATTTTTCCGGGATGACCTCGTCGTGGAGCGAGTCATGTTCACTGTGCTGTTGGTGGTGATATTGCCGTCAGTGTCACTCGTGAAGCCACCACGACGACGAGCAACTTTAAACACCGCCGTTTTACCTTGGGTGGTCGCCACGTGTTTCGACAAAAGCACTCGTCCTGCCTTTTTTCTGAGATGCCTGTCGGACTGTGTGAAGATTACTCCTGGCATACCATAACATCGAGGAAACCCAACAAAGTCTTTTCTTCGTCGTCACTACCGGTTACTCCTCTTCCCCACAAAGCACAACACTGGGCACTACAATCTCTCGCTTGTAGGCCTGCGCCATGATCCACTCGGTCGTCACGGTCAAAACCCGGGCGTCACTGGGTCATGACCCGATCCTGACCGGGTCATGGCCATGATCGGGTCATGTCCCGGTCATCGAGATGGAGTCATGACCTCGATCATCACCTTGATCATGACCGAATTCATCGCCTTCCCTTTCGCTCTCCAGCCGCTGCTCGCGCGCCGCCGCGCAGTGGGCGAGCCTGAAGTAGTACAGAGACCCCGAAACGGTCTCGGAATACACAAGAGTACTTTTTGTTGATGTTCTTTGAGAGATTCGCTGTCCGCGGTTCCCCGAGCTCCGCGAACCTTGGAAGGATGGCCCCGTGCTTGGCGAACACCTTCCAGAAGAGCAACGACGGAGCAGGAGACTGGCGTGGGCGGACGTTTAGTTGCATATGCTGCAACAAAGACAGCAAGTTTTCCCTGCCGTTGCCCCCTCTTTGGAAATACATGCAAACAGGCGCATCCAGAAGGAACGGTGACAATCGCTGCTTCCGTTTACATCGCTCATGCCCGTTGGTACGACTTGAGGAACTGCATGTACCAGCTGGTGCAAAGAGTACACACGCGAGAGTCACACTTGTGATTGAACTCTCTTCGAGTTATTTGGGCCCGTATCTCGGTTGGATCCTATCCCTCAATGCTCCGCACAGTCTCGTGACCGCAGTACCCTCTGCACTTGCCCCAGCCGGGCAGTCTAACTTCGTGGGAAATTATCTAACGGAGTACGTAAAACACACCACCAAAGATGCTGTTATTTCGACTGCCCGGAGCAAGAAAAGGACAGGCGGCGGTTGTGAAAACAGGCAATCCACACACAGACAAAAAACGTAAGAGACCTCGCCATATCACTGGGACACACTCGTCAAAGCCGGCGAGGGCGCGACTAATGGCAGCTGCAAGGAGCCAGGCTGACGGCTGCGAACCCCAAACCTCACTACTGAATAACCGGCGTGGGACCAACGAAAACATGCTATTTTACTCTACTGTGCAAGTCTTCGGGGCGCAAAATATTTTTGTGCTCAAGAGGCCCTCAGGACAAACAGGGGAATCCTAGCAACGTTGGCCAAAAAGGGGGGCGAACGTAAGCGATGATTGCATTATTCCGGCTCATATGTGGACAGGTGCCACGCGGCATACACCGGGGATATTCTGGTAGGGGCACGACGCCCCGGTCTACACAAAAACAAGACATACGCACAGCCTCATGCGACCCTACAAATGCCGCTCCATGATCATCGATTAAACACCCGACCGAGTACTTGGTGAATCCTACAATAGGTTGAAACCAATCTCAAGCTGCTAACATGTCGATAAAAGCCCAACCAACCCGCGTAGCGTTGTGTGGCTGCGCCTCCCCCTCGACGAGACTGTTGGTGATTGTGCTACCTTGCCCTTGTCCTCCTTATTTGGGGCGGTGACATGCGTACGAAGCTTGGCCCCGTGGGCGAGCTCCTTGTAGAGCGCGTTTCCGTGCTCGATGGTTGATCCGTTCAGGATCTTCGTCGTGCCGTCTGTCACCATATAGGGGTGTTCCGCGGTAAAGACGAATTGTCTCTCCCGCGGCGAGGAAAAACTCGAATGCAAAAAAACCGTTTTTGGATACATGTCTAAAACGACGATTAAAAGCATTAAAAAAAGAGAAACAAAAAAAAATGTGATCGGATCGCCTTGATTGTTTTTTTTTACCGCGTTGCCGATTTCGGCGCCTCCATTTCTCCCCGGCAATCAATTCCGCTTGGCCGATTTAGAGGGGCTAGAGCCACTCAGAAAGTTGATCAGACAAAAACTCGACGTGGGAACCGAGAATCCAAAATCCCAGGAATTTTGAAATTGCTCAGCTACTGTTAGCTTTTGAGCAGCTGAAAGTCCATTGCAAATCAAAACTGGGACATTCCAACAATATATTTGTGATCCCCACCCCAAAATTACCCTAATTCGAAGTTAGGAGAGATTGAATCAACATGTAGAAAGTGTTGCGGGAGGGGGGATATTTCAGTGTAATTCCTAGTAATTCCAGGTTGTCCCTGCTTTCGCGCATATATATCAGTGCGTAGCTCTACACGGCCGCATCGATCCCGATCGAAATTCTGACGACGGATTCTTGATGTACAACACAACATTATGCTAACCTGAAAAATTTATACGATTCGGAGGCGTTTGCAACTTGCTCGGGGGGCCCGCAGACGCGATTTTCACCCAATTTTGGCCACTAATTCATCAATAAGTCATCACCACGACATCCAAATGGGAAAATAAGTATATTTTCGTGATCCTCGTGACCTAACGGATGTTGGTACAAATTTTCAGAGGTTGGGAACCATTTCTTGCTGCTCATTGAAAAACTCGTGGAAACTATTCGTCTTTACCGAGGAACACCCCTGTAACAAGCGTTATACTTGTACGGCACACGGCAGGCACACACGCGAAAAAAGCAACGTGGTCGGCGCCATTTCACCTCGTTACCTCGCAACCCTATCCTCTTCACACAATGAATGCCGCGGTGCGAAACTACGCCGCTTGCCACAACAGCAGTCAGCAAGCTCCGCTCGCCTTCCACATCTCATCCTGCGCAGACGGTACAATTGATCATCATGGATGTCCAATAATTCTCCTCCATCGTTGAGGTACGAATGCCGAGGGAGTACCAGAATCCTGGCAACGTGCCGTCCCCTCTGTGTCGCGTTGCCATCATCCAATGCTAACACCAACCACCAGTACCGTCAACGTCTACGTCAACGTCTACACTCTGCCTGCTCTGCAGCTCTGGAGCTCGCAGAAGAGAAGACATATTTTTCAGAATCATTCGAAAAACGTTTTCTACCCTCAACCACTTCGCAAATTTGAAATGAAAACCGCCACGTTTTTTATATCCATCCACCACCAAACGGCTTGCACGAGATGACTAAAACATGCTTAAGTAGCCTGTGAAGAGCTCGTCGAAGCCACCAGCGCACAAACAATTTTGTCCGGATTTTGACACATGGCCCACAGAGCAGCATAAGACGGCCGACTCGTTGTGAGCCTCGCATCATCTTGTCGCTACCGCAGTTCGAACATCCGAACTAGGTTCTTGTTAAAGGCAAGAAACATTCGAGAGATGGGACCATCGGGATGATCGTTCTTCAAAAATCGTTCTTCAAGAATCGTTCTTCAAGAATCGTTCTGTAGGTTCTTGGGGAACGTGGAGAACCTGGTTTTCTAGAAGCTCTCTCGCTCTGCTCTCTCTCCTCTCGCCTGCCCGTGCCCTTCCTCCTCACAGCTCACAACATCCATGAACGCCATCAACCACAACAACAACAATAACCGCTACAACAACGACAAGACGATGACAACCCCTTCCATCAAGATTAACTTCCAGGGCGCTTCACGCGACGTGAACGTTCCGGCTCCGGTTTCGCTCGCCAGCCTCCAAGCGGCCATCGCCGCCGCCTTCGATGCTGAGCTGCCTGTCCGCTCCCCCGCGGGTGAGGCCGCCAAGGACACCGACCTGTCCTTCACGTACAAGGATCCTGATGGGGACGACATCGTGTTCGACAAGGATTCTGAGCTAAAGCTGGCCGTGCGCCTATGCCCCAGCTCGCTCGAGATCTCGGCTACCCTGAAGGAAAGCGAGGTGAGCAGATTGGCATCAGATGTTTGCTCTTGTTCAAGGAGAGGAATAAATCACATGGTGTAGCCGAGGGTGAGACTTGCGCGAGCGGTCACGTACTCGTAGGGCACACGCCTCGGTACCGTCGCGAGCAGCTAGTCGTGCGTGCTACCATACTCGCTCCCCGTGCTCGGGCTGCTCCATTCGTTGTAGAGATATTTTATTTTTGGTTGCTTGTTAGCTGGGCGAGACATGCGTACTTCTGTACTGCTGTAGTGGCGGCCCCGAATCGGGTGATCTCGCTCTCTCTCGCCCTTGTGTTGGTCGCCGCATCGACGTTGGCCTTCTGACTTGCAGCATATGCCGAGCTAACATTGGTCAATGGTACCACCCGGTACGGTATGTGGCGATTGTCTCCATCGTCGACTGCGTTCAAAACTCGACCCGATTGTAGGAAATTGGAACTTATCCCCTGCTGTAGATGCATACACTTCCACACTAAATAATACTGCTGTACTGCTCTGTTTTTGTGCTGTACATAGCAGCGGGGTAGAGCAGTAGTCCTCCCTGTTTATGCCCTGCCAGAGCCGGGACAGTAAAGCAAACAACCACCGATATAAAATCTCTAACTCCCCCCAATTGTCACATTCTTGCCAATGGTTTTCTATTTTCGTTGCCGGCAATTACGCATCGGAATCTTACCGTCATGATGTGTCCAGAAGTTGGCCCTATTTTTCCTGCGTCGTCGAGAATTCCTTTTCCCCCACAACTGCACCGCGCTGAATCCCCCCTTGCCTTCCCTTCCCCACCGCGTGCACCTCTTCCCGCTTCCCTCTTTACATGTAACCTCAGCCTGCTAAGAAGCCCGACCCCGAAGCGAGGCTGTACAAGATCGCCGCCCGTAACCTGCGCGAGTACAACGGCGTGCCCTCGATGACCGCGCCCAAGCTCATCAAGACCCTGGCTTTCCTCAAGCTGAACCCGCAACGCCTCGTGAAGCAGGGCCTTGCTCCCAAGGTCCTTCTGGCTCGCATGAAGGCCGAAGCCGCCAACAACGCCAAGGTATCGAAAGTTCCTCTTGGTGACGGCAAGAACAACGAGGATCTCGCCGAATCGGTCGCCGCCGGCATGGAACTGATGAGCGTGGAGGACGATAAGAAGGAGTGGAACGACGGCTTCGTCTCCGCTGAGTCGGACGCGTCTGCTGCCGCGGTGCCCATCACCGCCAAGACGTCCACCCCCGACAACGACAACGAGGAGGAGAACAACGACGCTGCGCCCGAGACCAAGAAGGACCTCATCCACAAGGCATTCATCACCGGTGGCATCCAGCTCCGCCCCCGCGAGGTCCGGCCCCTGCTCGTCGCCCTGGACGTCCGCCCCTGCCGGCTGGCCAAGCTCGGCCTCGTCGACGGCAAGGATCTCCGCGCCATGCTCCGAGCCGAGAAGAAGGCCGCCCACAAGCGTTGCGACCATGGCAACAACAACGATGACACCGCCGCCCTCCACCACCGGCGCCACCACCACCGCGACTACCACCGCCAGCAGCACCGCATGGCCGGCCGCCCCCACCCCTTCGCCCCGCCTCCCCCTTCCCCCCCGGCTCACCAGGAGGTCGGCGACGCCATGTTTGCCGCGCGCGGCGGCAGGGGACGCCACGGTTCCCCCCACCGCCACGGCCCCCCTCACCGCCACGGTGCGCCGCACCAACACGGCCCGCCCCCTCCGATGAAAGGGATGATGCGCGGCGGCCGCCCCCACCCGTTCGCCCCCCCCCCTCCCCCGGCTCACATGGAGGACCCCGGTGACGCGCCCGGTGGCGGAGGCGGTGGTCACCGCGGTGTCCCTCTCTTCCACCCGGTCCACCAGCACTACGCGGAGGTGTTCGACGAGGATGAGAGAGGCCACCCCGGTGTCCACCCCCACCATGGCCCTCCTCGTTGGATGGCGATCCGCAACTCTCACGGCGGTGGCTACGGCGGCGGCTACGGCGGCGGTGTTGGCCAGCAGCAGCGCAGGGACTTCTACTGGGGGTGAGCATCTTCGTCACCGTCAAGCCGAAGGAGGAGCCTAGCCGTCTACTACCGTTCTGCCCTTGTATCGCGTTTCTTGGCGCAGGATTGAAGCACGGCATGAGAGTAGTTGATTTGGTGTAGCCTTTTCTTTCGGTACTAATTGCAATTGGGCAGAAGCCTCCCTCGGAAACACTGATACGAGGGGTGGAGAGCGGAAGGTTTGAGTAGACGAGAACCGTTTCACCGTTTGGCTTCTGCACTCATGCAATACTACGATAGGCGTATATGTTCGAAACATCTTTCAAAAGTAAAACCGTCTTGGTTTGATTTGAGTTCGGCCTTTCGTGGTTTCTTTGTTTTCTTCTGTGCTCTCGTTGTTGAGGGAGTCGTCTGTGTTGCGTGAAAGTGTATCATCGCTGTGCGACGCAAAGTAGCTGATTGCGAGCAGGTTAACCACCGAGTTAGTGGCACCGTTTGCATGTGGCGTCAGAGTGTTTTTGCAGCGGGTATGCATACGTTGATCTCGCTGTTTGAGTTCGGACGGGGAGGAGAGTACCGCTCGTGTGGCATACACGAGGGTGTTGTATTGGGTAAGAAGGGACTGCCGTGCACCCACTACTGCTGTCAGCAGCAGTGTTGTATGAGGAGACAGCGGTCGGTCGTAACACCGGCGGTTCACAAGTGGAAGTGGCATTATGGAAGTCTCAGGGAGGCACACGTCGCGCAGCGGTGTGTCTATATTGCGTGCACTTCTTGGGGTAAAAAAAGCGGTTTGGGTGGTCAAATGCCGGCCATATTGATTGTCGAGACTGGAAAGTATTCAGATAGGTGGATGGAATGGGGGAGGGAAGTAAATGAAGTCAAAAGTAGGCCATCCCTTTGGCGAAGTAGGCTGTAACGTTGCAGCATCCAACAGCAGGTACAGAAGTGTCTGGGCATGAGAGAGAAAAGGGGGAGCGAGTTCCACCCACATGTGATGTTAATTGAAGAGAGAACAACGAAAAACAAACAAAAAAAGGACCCGAGAGGTCTCAGAGCAAAAACAGTCTTAACCTGATGTCCTCATGACATCTGTCGGCGGTTACGACGAAAAACGTTATTTCCTGCCCTCACCCGCCTCCTGTTTTCTTGGATCACGAGAGGGGTGGGCGCGTCGCAGCACGGTCTGTCCGTCGATACGTGGACACGTACCTTCATGAGGTCCCTCTTGAACATGCGATCGCGGTGCCGAGACGGCCTTCGTTTCATTCTTACATCTAGTTATTATACGGTTTAGCGCCGGCATTGGATGCTACGCTTGTGGGGTGAGTCCTGCCTCCTATGTATGCTACCGGTGCTTGCTTGTGCTCTGACGTCGTCCGTGTCCCTCATAAGGCCACCAACAAAAACAACGAGCAACTTTTTTTGAGTCTCACGACTGTTCAACTTGGATCGGTAATCACGGACGACGACAAGCAAGTTCTTCCGCGAGTTTTTTTCGTGTCAGGTCGCAGGTCGCGGCTGTGGACAGCAGTCGTCAAGATACCTCCTGAAAACATCGAGGACAATCAACAGAGCCTCTGCTTTATCGTCATGGCCACGACTCTCCTCGCACTCGCAGACAACGCGCATGCCACGGGCACGGGGATTGCCTTTGTTGTAACCTTGTCTTGTGGCGCTTACTTCAGGCAGTGACCGCAGTTGCTCGTGCACGGTAGACTGGGTACGTACGTATTCGGGAGGAGATCGAGGTACTCCGTGGAGGTCAAAACTTCATTCGTTTGAGGTCAACAAGAAGAACGACGACAACAAACACAAAAGTTACATGCAGCTGATATATTTTTACGAGTGTGGGAAACACGCATGCAACGAAAACACAACAGGTACCTCGTCAAATCCAAACAAATCAACCCGATTGGCACGAAAAGGTGCGTACGCGCGTGTATGTATGATTTCTGCAAACACAACACGAATAACAACCAGCTGTTCAAGACGCTTCTCGATTGACACTGCTGTGCTGATAACCAGACCGTGAAGTCATCTTGACGGCGGCTAGACGGTTTGACATAAAACACCTCCCATCAACGTCGCATCAATACACAAATGATTTCAGCCCTTGGTACTCCACAAACTTCCCACGCAAACACGCCCGAGAATCCGTCTAAAGCGTGTTTGGCTCTGAGAGTACTCGAGCGTTATGTACGTCTGTCTCACTACTATGCGAACGGTTCGAGCTATGTTCAAAAAGACATGGAAGCCATCAGCGTCCCTTAGGATTGCGCGGCTGTCAAAAGAGAGAAGGGAAGTAAAAAAAAAGCCAAACCATCAGCAAAGGGAGCACGCGGACCACAACAGCAATCAGATATCTTGGGGCGAAAAGGAGAGGTACAGCAAGATCCTGACCGAAAAACTCAGGCACACAAGCTTGAAAAAATGCCGTGAAAGAGACACCTGGATCGAGCAAGGCGTACGGAAACAGAGATGAGCGCCCACAAGGAAACCGCTGCGCTGCACTACATATGTTGTTACACGACGGAAGAAACAAGGCAATCCCAAGACACAAGAAATCGATCAGGGTCACGCCCCGTGCGCCCCAAATCCTTAGGCCTCAGCACCGAACCGTGCTATCTTGAACGGGTCCAATAGTATTCATGTTTTTGTATGCAGATTTTCTATTTTACAAGAAAAAAGAAACAAGTGGAACACACGGTCAAGATAAATCCTGGGGACCGCGCAGGGGGGGGGGCGGCGTACTCCTTATGTTTTGCATGCCTCATTGGTTGGACCATTGACCACGCGTCCTCGAGACAGAGCATTTTTCCCACAGGACCGACACCGATGGCCAATCGTTCCGTCATACTTTTACCAAAGGTGGATCAAAAATGTCGTCCCTTGACTATCCTACTGCTATCACTTGCCGCCTTGTCAACCCACTTCCTATGCCCCTGTATAGCTTACGTCTTATCCTGGCTATTCCATGCCTCAAACGTATCCCTGTACTTTCTTTCTTCTTGTCACAGCTCCGTCATGTACACTTCCCTCTCCTTCGTGTACAGCCGACATTCCGCGACTACATGGTCTTCGCGGGGGCGGGGCGGGGGGGGGGGCGAAGAAGG